TATCGAATTGGTCTTCCTCGGCTTCCTCGTTGTTATCACATTAATAGTAACAACATCTAAAATGGGCCTATCAGCATTTGCGGGGGAAATTGCGGGCTAAACAAAGGGCACCTATGGGATAACAGCTTATATTCTGATATTTTTGAGCAGGAAATGTTAACCTTGAAATGCTGCTATCTGCGCCTAACAATGTGTGATCATAACCCCATAAATGAGGGGAGAAATTGAATCCTTTTAAGTTATTAAGCAGGAAAGGATTATAAACTCGTCTTTATAAATGAGCTAGAAATCCCCATGTCTTCCTCTGTACACTTTTAAATTTCCCACAAGAAGCTGGAGAGGAAAGATTGCCCCTTTTCAAGAGCCCCACAAGAGATGGAAAAACCATTTTTGTACCCAGATAGGAAGTCGTCCCACATGGTAAGCGCCACTTTAATTAATAGACAGCCTTGAGAGGTATCACTGTCAGCTTGGATAATGGTGACAGAGCTAGTGTTTGTGCTTCCATGAATATTTCTCATGTGATCAAAGTCAAATGTCAGCAGAGAATGAATTTAAGCCTACTCGATTTTTTTTTTTCTTATTTGCAGCCTAATGCTTTGGACACTTAAAGCTCCTGACACCGAAATGTCTCGCCGGTTTGGTAGGCCTACAAGCTTAAACTGAACTCTCCTTAAAAAAAAAATGATGCAGCGCTCAAATATCCGCTCTACGCAGCGCAGTTTGCTGTTATTATGTTGCACGGTTTGCTCACGTTACCTCGCTGGAACCAATAGAGCAATTTGTAACAGTGTTTGTAGCGCTTGTCATCAAGTCTCGCGATATGTCATTAAATAACAAATTACACCATAATCTTTGAATGAAAAAAAGGCTGATTTTTTTTTAAGAAGGGAGGGGTGGGGAGTGCATTGAAACAGTGGCGGAAATGCGGAAATGTTTCTCTTTTTTTGTACGCTGTTAATTTTAATTTCTAAATCTACAATTTTAGCACATTGCTGATACCGAAATGGAAATTTGTCACACTAATGACAAAATGACGGCGAGACATCGTTAACAATAATGGATTTACCACATGACCAAGCTATGGGCTAAATGTGCTCATCGTTTCTCTATCTAAGGTGTCGATATTATTATTATTATTATTATTATTATTATTATTATTATTGTTATTATAGCTTATAAACAGTCACTGAAACCTGTTAACCTACCACTATTTGGACTACTGCAGTCTCGAAAGAAAGATTAAAAAGGTACTTATGTGTATTTTTGAATTTTCTTTTTGTGTAAAAAACAAACAAAACAAAAACAACAACAAAAACACCCCCCCCAGAGATGCCCGGGTGTCCGGACATCTTAAAAACTATTCACAATGTATATTTTCTAAAGAAATGTTAAAATTACCAAATAAAACTGATACAGCGTGTGTTAATTATTGTCAAAATAATTACTCTTTATGATATTTGTTTTCTTACCTTTTCTTTTATTAAGCTAAAAAGGGAAAAATGAAATTGAAATATCATTACTTTTATTTTTGTACTGGAAAAAAACAACAAAAACAACAACAACAACAACAATAATAATAATAATAATAATAATAATAATAATAATAATAATAATAATAATGATGATGATACTACTACTACTACTAATAATAATATCGACGATGTCATGTCTTTCAGCTCCTGCCCCCTTTATAAGAGATGTAGGCCTACCGATGTAAATTCCAGTGAAATGTGGCTTGAGTGGCTGCGGGGACAGGGGAGGTTAATCCGAGTTTAATGCAGTGAAGCACAGCGCAGGGTCTGGGCTATGATGGGTATGTTATCTCTCCCCAACATTTGGGTCTCCCTCAATTTCCACCCAGCCAAATAGCTGCGAGAAAGTGCAGATGGAGTCACTCTCAATGCCTGAGGAAAAAACGTTATTAATAGCTAAATAACTTCCCCATACTTTCACTGAATCTCTCTCACACACTGTTCCAGATGGATTTGTTTGAAGTGGTCTCTCGCTTCATTCCCCTGTCCTTCTCATTCAGCACGGCTTTAGACCCGAAATATAGCTACATTATATTACCATACACTTAGAGACTGGGTGTGCGTGCACGAGGGCGCGCTTCCCTGTGTGCGCGCGCACACACGTGCGTTTGTGATGTGGAAAGCGCAGAGAGGGCAGCTTTTCACATTTTCATCACCATGCAGGCAGAAACTATTTTTTCCCCTTGTTGTTTGTTTGTTTCTGTAGCGGATCACATGCAGGGTACCTGGCATTGAGGGGTAAACCTGAAGAAAACATGCTTCCGTCGTAATTAATGAAACATGCCGACTTATAACTGAAGCTGAAATGGAAAAGAGACAATACGATCCACATACTTTTGAAGTAATGCAGTATGCGACTCACATTCACTGGATTCCAAATTGTATTTCACTGAATATGGATCTATAGTAACAGTTAGAGCCTCCTCTTTCCCAGTCCCACCTGGCTGTTTGGGCTGGTCTGGCTTCTACACACCTCTCCTCTGCTCTGTCACTTTCCCTCCCCACTGCCTTGAAATAATCCCTTCTGACATCTGTTTAATTACACCGAGGACCTCAGGTAATCCTGCGATTTGCTGAAATGTCCATCGCGTGTCTGCAGCGCATCTAACGGTCAGTTTGGATGCATCAGTGTGGCAGATTGACGCCAGGCAGCTGATTCGCCTTCTGATTCTCACCGGGGTGGCGCAAAACGTAACGATGCCCACGTTTGCGCACAGCGGTCTTTAAGCACCTTCTTGCGCGCAATTAAAACCTTGGGACTGATTTTAATAGCCGTGCGTGACAACTAAAGTGCGCACCTTGGACTGGAAATTTGTTTCTGCAAAAATTGTGGGATAGACCAGGATCACCACTCCAAACAGTTATCAACGAAAAAAGGCCCTAAAAGCGAGGCTTTTCCGGCGGTTATGCGCTGAGTTTTGATTGGTTTATTTTCCATTACAACCTTATGAAAACAAACAAACAGCTGTCTTCATGCAGCAAATAAAATCTACATTATTGTAATGTGGTTAGGACTTTAAATACACGTTTAATAAAGCTAGATTAAAGCTGGGATAAATCCGTGATGTAACCTCTGAGAAAATCAAATGCACAGACCTAATAAACAAATAGATAAATAAATAAAGTCTTAAAATCTGGATAAGTAAACGAATAAAAAAAAAATCTCATGAATTTTGTGCCCAGGGCGAGCCACTGTGAGCTCCGCTCTGAGATGAAAGTGAAAAGAAATAAAAGGCTCTATTTAATCTGCTTTAAAACCCCTCTCCACATAAGGGCTGTGCTTCAAACTCGGAGAGTGAGGGGCTGATTGGGGATAAATACATTTCTTACCATGCCTGCGAGCTATTACACCCGGCACGAACACAGCCACCTATTCAGCAACCATCGTTTCCAGTGCTTACTCTAATAAGTATTAACATTATTAAATGCCATCCGGTTGCTGGTAGTCTAAACTGCATTACGCAGAGGGTGCGTCTCTTTTTATAGCAACGTAAATCAACCCCAATTTAAAACACGAGCAGCGGTAAGGAGAAAAAAAATAGAAGCAGGAGAATTATGTCTATATTGTGCACCATCAAAAAGAAAAAGAAAAACGTAAACAGTCAATAATTACGCGATGATTTTGCAGGTAAGAACTTCAAAATGCAAACGTGTGCATCAGTTGTGCGCATTTTTTTTTGTTTTCGTTATAATGATAATAAAAATTATTATTATGGTCATTTTGAGACTGCACGGTTTGCGGCTCATCTATATGGACATTGGACATTTTTGCAAGAAAAAGGTTGTTTTTTTTCCTAACATTAGCGCGTGGTGTGAAAGAAAAAGAGACCGTTTTCACGCTATCACTTGATTCTTCTCCAACGGACCATTATATAAAATTACAAAACTATCTACCAGCGGGGCGTACTGAATAATTCATCTCCTTTTATGTCTCTTCTTGCCCTTTGTCCAAAGTTTTCGCTCTCTCTCCCTCTCTCTTTTTTTAAACCAGGTTTTTGAATAAGAATGGACGGACCCATACTCTCCTTTTCGCTGCCCTGCTTTCCAGGATTTGCTTTTGTACATCGGACCCTTCACTTTATAAACCGCATCAATAGAGGGGAGGGGTTTTTTTTTTGCTCGTAAAGTTCATCTTCAAGTTTGAAAAATTCTTCTTGGCCGTCCCTTTTTTTCTTTTTCTTTTGTGATAAAAAAAATCTATTTAAACCCTTTCAGACGTTTGATTCAGACACTGTGCATTTCTCCCGCTTTCATAGCCAAGCGTAAAGAAATAATAGAAAAAATTAAAATATGATAAAATCAGAAAATCATGTTAAAAAAAATACCTGAAATTAAAAGAAATTTCCCCATGATTCCATGGTCTAACAATTTCATAATTAATATACATAAAACAAGCTACAAAAACGAACGTATCCTATATAACAGGATATACCCAAAATCCTTCGAAGTGCCTCATAAATACGGAAGGCGCTGACAGCAAATACCTGCATCGCTTTATTTCCCCTCCTAGCAGCATCAGAGCAAATAATAATATGAACACTGATTTCCACTTTAACTGACAAGTGGTGAAATGTCGGTGAACTGACATCGATTGTGAAATGGGTCAACTGTCAGCTGTCGTTTAGAGGTCGTTAAATGAGTGAATGAATGAGGAGGAATTTGCTACACAAATTAATTTTCTGCAGTTAAATACCTTCTGCCAAGGCTCTCATAAATAATTGAGTGAATGAACAACTGCTGGCTCGGAGTTAAAAGCAGGAATAAATTCACTCCGTTTAGCTGCAGCTCGGGTGTGGGACAATTTCCCAAGAGGACGTGAAGTAGGAAGTCTTTCTAAAACACTTGCTTCCTGATTACAAGGTTGAAATTTACTCTAAATAATAATAATAATAATAATAATAATAATAATAATTTCTTATTTCAGACATATACAAAAGGGCCATATATTTTCTGCTGTTAACTTACATTTATCACCGAGGATGCCATCGATGCTATGCTTTGTTTTCTTTTCTCCATCTTCATCCTTCTTATCACAGTCATCCTCGTCATCTTTTTTGCCAAATCGGGCCCTCAAAACGCGGCTGATGGAGCTCACTAATGGCAACAAAAAGGTAAACGGGTGATTAGCCCTAAAACCCATAAAAGAACCATAGTAATCCTATCATACATTTTTAGAAGGCTATACCACACAAAAATAGCACAGCAAAAAAAATAAAAAATAAAAAATAAATTAAAAAAAGTTTTACATGAAGCAGCAGAAGCGCTAGGAAAATATTTTAAAAGTGTTTTTCTGTATTAAACGTTAGTAAAATTACACTGTAATACATTGATGGGAATTTACTATGGAGCACTGAAGCCACATTTCAACGGGATGAGTTTTTTTCTGGGTCAAACAGCTGAAGGTGCGCCCTTTATTATCAGTAACTGAAGCTTAAAACGTGGGATTCAAAGTGATGTTCATTCAGAAGTGATGCTGCAGTGTTCGCTGGTAGTAGGGAAAAAAAGTGCAGCTTACCAGATGAAGCCTCACCTGAAGGAACTGTGCTTCTGTCGCACACCCCGTCCTTCAGCAGCTTATCCCGGATCTCCCAGCTGAACATGCCTGGGTTTTCTCTCTTGTACTCTTCGATCCGCTTCTCCACGTCAGGCGTTGCCACCTGCTTTAGGTTTGAAAAGGTGTAAAAAGGAGAGGGGAAAGACAAAAGAGGGGAAAAGAAGGAATTTCAGTTTTAACCTAGATGTGATGATATTTTTGTTTTAGTCCATGAAAGATCAACGAAAAGATAATACGAACAAAATCTAAAATTAAACTCTAAATTATGCTAAATAACTCTAAATTATATTATTAATAATTTTAAAATGTAGGATTATTTTTTTAGTCGGGATATAGGCTCATGCAGGCAAAGAAACAGAAAACTGGCTAATCAGTGACACATTTTTACGTCACCCTAGTCACAATTTTATAAAGCTAATAACCAAATATAAGAAAAGAAAAAGGTATGAAATACACCACAAATATATTGTGGTTAATCAATATAATATAATTATATCATTATAAAAAAATAAATGTTTGGTTCTCAATTTTTTTTCTTTTAGCTTTTATTTTGTATCATTTTAAATTTAATATTTGTATTTATTTTAGATCTTCATGAACCCTATAAAAATGTTGCAGGTGTGTTACCCACCTTGAGAAAATTATTATTATAATATTGCACTTCATCTGCAATAACAACACAAACATCAGGTTTGAGTTCACTCAGGTGTCATGCGCTTTTTGCCACTCCACCTCCCCACCCCTCCCCACCCTCTCTCCCATCCTCGTGCTACTGTGACCCATTTCCTGGACCGTGGACCCCCACTCACCCTGGGCTTGCTGCCTCCTATGGCCCCGGGACGGATCGAGCCGGTCTCTTGGTACCGGCAGAGGATCTTGGAGACACAACCGTGAGAAACTCGCAGTTGTCGCGAGATTACGCAAGGTCGGATGCCGTGGTGGGCCATCTCCACTATCTTGTGTCGGATGTGATTTGGCAAGGGCCTCCCGTTGATGAACACTCCGCCAAGCTGGTTCACCCTACCCTGGCCCAGAGGCGTGGATACTGCGCCACAACAATAAACAATAAAAGTCTCAACAAACAACACAAACTACACATCACGTTTCCTGTGGAGCTTTTGCTCTCTTCAGAGTAGACCAGGCTAAAATTTTACTATAGTCAAACAGCTGCATATTTGTCATGTTCCTGACTTTTAATGGGACGCAGTTTACACACATTATCATATTATACATTTTCAACAAAGCATCGTGCCAAATTCGTCCAGCCTCAGTCTGGCTGACAGGATGCTTGCAAGGCCACTTCAGGATCCAATTTCACATTCAAGAGACACTAAAGAGGGTGACACTTCTCACCTTGATTATTCCTAGTCATGCTGTACAAATATTGATGTGATCCTTTGAGCCATCTCTTTGCTGTGTGTATTATTGCCATTTCCAGCAGCCAGACACTTGAACAAATCCCGGAGCTCGAGTAACTTGCGAGCTACGTGGTTTTTGTACATTTCAGTCCAGAGCACTTGAGCACGAACTGGTTGTAAGGAGAAAACTGTTTCCATAAATGCATGCAAATACAAAATGATCTCCTTTTTTGTTTCCTCCATCCCTTTCCCCCGCCATATGTTCAGACGACTTGAGTGTGCTGGGCATCGAAGTTAAAAAAAATAAATAAATTACCAATTAGATTGCTTTGCGTGTGTGTGTTTGTGTGTGTACGTGTGTGTACGTGTGTGTGCAGCCATAAAAGTTAGAGCACTAAAAATGCTAAAAAATATACAATAAAATAATCTTAAATTAAAAAGAAACTCTACATTTAATAGTAAATTTAGAATATTTTTTATTTTAATGGAAGTGAAAAAACGGATGCATTTGTCATTATAACAAATATTTCATCCACCATAAACAACATTGGCAAGAAAGATAATACGTTTGAAAATAGATTCAATATAGAATAAATATAGTGTCATACAAAACACACACTTCAGAGTGACTCAACGCAGGAACATGAGGCTGGAGTACCGTTGACCATGACTTCGGGTTAACTTTCATCAGCACTGACTGGAGGCTCGTATTTGTCCACCCATCTTTTTCTTCCCAGCATGCCGCCGATAACAAACTGTGCTCTGTGTCACTACCACGGTGGAAGCTGACAGAGCGAACAGCCGACAATCTTTATCAGCTCGAGTTCAGATGTTTTACACGTTTGGTCATTTTTCTTACCTTCCAGGGGGAAGCCGGTTCGGGGGTAGTTCTGGCCTGGCGCAGGGCGCACCATCCGAGGCACTGTTCCTGGTAAAGTAGCCATCATGTAGCTACACAGACAAACACAAAACCGGGGTCTGCTCGAAACTGCTACTCTTAGAAAGTCCAAGCCAAAAAAAATAAAAAATAAAATAAAATAAAAAAAACCCGGAATGTATTCAAAATGCTGAAAACAAGATGCTCTGCTGCTGTCAAATCCCAATCCCAGGCGGAGAAACTGGACTAGCCCTTCTTCCACCGGGGGAAAAAAATAAAAGTGATGCTTTCCTCTGCTGCGATAGATATGCCAAAGAGAGAGAGAGAGAATAAAGAAAGCATCAAATAAAATCTAAAAAATCTCTACAAAGGAAAGTTTGCAAAATGGATGATTTGCACCCAAAGTATCTGCGGTAGATAAAATGCAGTGTTATTCTTTTTCCCTTGGTGTAGTTTGGATTCAGTGTAATGTCTGCTGGCTGGTTGGAAGTAGTTTAAGTGGCCAACTTTCGTGCATGGCGTAGGAGGAGACAGCCGAGCGCTCCCATAGGCTCACTGCCCTTTCTTTTATGGATGAAAGAGAGTGGGTTTAGCCAGGAGCCGGTCGACCAATCAGAACAACACATTCCACTTTTAATCCACTGCTGCCTCTCTCATAAGAGCCCGTACACCCAAACCAGTTCAAAATGTTAATATATCTAAATGTTATTGTAAAGCCATCATTTCAAAGTGTGGGGCTGCCTTCATCACACCCAGCTGTCTAACCCTGTGGAATATTAATATTTTTACAACTTTCTTTCTTTCTTTCTTTCTTTCTTTCTTTCTTTCTTTCTTTCTTTCTTTCTTTCTTTTTTTCCATATATAAAATATATATACATTTTAAAACACACGGAAGGCAAAGATAGAATTTCCCACACAGAAAAAAATACGATTGTTACGTGAATAAAATAAATTCAAGCCTTTGAAATATTTACCATGTTATCATAATATTTACCTGTAAACAATCGACTATTATTACATATTACAAATAAAAAATATGGAAAATCACGACAGGAAAAATATCTAAATGAATTTACTAAAATCATGTGTTCGATAGTGTTATTCATATGCAAAGGTTACTCTTCCATTAATGCGCTGGTTTGAATTAAAAAAGAAAAAAAAGACAGGAAAAAAAGTCGGGCCCAAAATAACCGAGTTAAGGACTGAAGGTGTGTTTTCTGAATGGACAAAGTGCGCTACAGCTCAGCGAGGTTTTGAGTGTGAGATGCTTTTGGCTTGTTAACCTTTTAATTAAGTAAATGTGCGCAACATGAACATCTAAAACGCTCCTATATAGCCTTTGTGGTAATTACAACATTTGGATCGACCCGCTATTGACGACAACAGGTTGACTTGACCCGCTGGAGTACGCACAAGCGTAATTGCTCAAAAGGTAATTGTTTAAAAAATAATGCGCTATGACTATTAAAGTGGAATAGAAAGAGCACATATGGCAGGAAAGAAGAGGTGCATGTGTCAACTCTGTGGGCCCACCGTGCATATAAAATTGTGTGACAATTGCCGTGGAAAACACTCCTGGTGGAAGGCAATTTCACAAATAATTTTAGCAACAATTAGGGAGTGTGGAGGGGTGAAATGGCGATTTCACATGCAGATGTGCCGGTGGGAAGGGATCTGGTATCCTGCCGAATAGCTATGACCCTCACTCTCCCGCTTTGGTTTGCTTCACATGGGACAGAAAAGCACAAAGAGACCGCCTCACCCTCCTGGGAAGCCGCAAAGAGCACTGGATTAAGTCAAGCATCAATCATGTGAAATCCAAACAACAGCACATTTCTGTTACGGAAAGCGTGCTCTTTCACAAACATTTCTACCTCTCAGTTTCTCTCTCCGAAGCCACAACAGGTAGGCTTCACTGCGTTTCTGAAATCACACAGACACGCAAATAAAGCTAATAATCCCGCATTCCAAATATCATTGCTTCACCACCACCAAGTCTTGCCTCTGTTATGATAATTATTACAAGCCTGATAATAATTTGCTATGCAACTGTTTATAATTACACCCAAAAGAAAAGCTGTAGCAGAGTGCAGAAAAATTTACATTATCATGCATTTATGTGTGATGATGATCAGGTTTATATATATATATATATATATATATATATATATATTAACTACACAGGTGTTTTTTCCCCTCTGGGTTATATCCTCACATTTTTTTAATGTCACAATTTGCAGGCTCACAGTAACAATTTTCACCCAGTTAAGAGTTACACTGCCTTATGCATTGATAGCTTGCCAGGTTTATTTGTGCAAAAGGAACGCAACAAGCTTGCAAAATAACACACAACTTTAGAGGTGAATAAAAAAAGCGAAAGAAGCAGGTTTAATTCTGTATTGCACAAGGAGAGCTGTGAATCATATGAACAGAGGTGTTGAAGAAAGATACTGATTTATATTTATTTATTATACATACACATATATACATATATATGTTTATGGCAGCTTTGATTTAATTTGACCTCTGGTGATACAGAAACTCTGTCACACTGTGGTAAAGATTTTGAGTATTTTTAATAGTGATTTTCATATTAGTTTAAAATTATTCAGCTGCCATAAATATGGCGGTAGCATGTCCACTAGTGGGCGACTGCCGCTTCACTACTTCTAACAAATGATTTATGATCAAAAAAGGGACAAAAGCAATTTTCTGAGAGCGTCATGTTGCTCCAAACAACAATTTTGTAGCCCTAATGCATGCATGCATTATGCATTAAGTGGAGTCTGACTCACGCTTGTCCTTGTCACACCCTAAACTTCATTTAGCCTGGTTGTTTCTGCAGGGTTTAGCACAGCTCATATAAGTAACTCTGTCACTTCAGTTTCCTTTTAGCGGCAGCAGACAGAAAAACACTTCCTCTCTCTCACGATATCGTCTCCAATCTTATCTTGATCGGGACCACTCTTCAAACACTTTCCTACATAGCCTCTCATTATTTGTGTTATGGCAATTACCAAAGTTTCTTTTTTGCTTGTAGGTGAAGACTCCCCCCCCTCTCCTATCTACATGTATTCTCTCAATACACGGCATTTAGGTTTCACATTGAGGCACACAAAAGAGAAAACACCTTTGATGAGAGGCATCGCCAATTTAGGCTTTATCTGCTCCTGAGCTGAACAAAGTCGATATAAACATTATTGTTATTTAGATTTTAACAGTTCTTTTATCTTCCATTAGGTGAGTGTGGAGTGTGCTGAACACAGCAAACGGTGTGCTGAATATATTTAGATTTAGATGATTTTTTGTTTTTTTCAATATCTGCTGCTCATTCTTTTTTTTTCTTTTTTCTTTTTTAAAATTATGTCTGTTTATAAGGAACAAAAGAAACTCAAGACTCAAGATTTGGAAACTAAATAAGTAACGGTTCATAGATTCAGAT